TTTATTTCATAAATTAAATAAAAGTGTATAAAACATTTTGATATTTATTTTAAATTAAATAAATAAACGGGAAATTGAACAAACCGTTCGGGTTCCCAACAATCTGAACAAATTCCTGCTTTCCGTAAAACTGGAAAGGATCTTGCATATCTCGTATGGAACTTTGGAACCCACTCGGGCATTTCTTAAACAACATATTGCATAAATTCTTCCGAATCGTTCATATTAATAATACATTTAACAAAACGTGTGAATAACAAATGGTAATTCTCAGCTCAACTATGACAGAAGGTGTGGTACCAGAATGGCACAAAATATCCCCCCAGGGGGTATGTTCTGTGCCAGAATGGTTAGGTTAGAAAAACACACTCAAGGGTCCTATACTCCACACTCAAGTCCAAGTCGCCCTTACACGTCAGCTGATCTCGAAGTGACGACTATAAAACGCATTTTTCATTATGACAGTCACTTGAGTGTTCAGTGTCACTTGAGAGGCGTCTATAAATACGGCCATTAATTATTAAGCTGGTGAGATTTTGTCGCCCGGAAAATCAATTTTAGTGTGTTAACTATATAAAAACTGCCGGATTCAAGGAAAATCGCACTTACCAACAAACCGTTCATTTTTCTATGCTGATACATCCTGGGGGTATGCTCCTTTACTCCAAAATTGCAGTTTCAAGGTAAAAACTGGAACAGGCTCATAAACGGGTAGAGGTCGTCCAGGTTTACACATCTAGTGCACCCGGTAACACATGTGAACGACTTTATAGCTAGTCGTTCTTTCCCCCATGCAGAAAAGCCTCTCTTTCCTTGTCAAAGATCGGTAATTTATCAACGTCAGCATCACATTATGAGCACGCTCCCGGCCAGTCCGCGCATGTCAAGCTGACCGCTTCAGATGACAGCTCAAATGTAAGAAAATTGCCGAATTGAAAAACCGTGTTATTTTGCGAAAAATCCACTACCGGTCGCGAAATAAGACAAAACAGTGCACCAAAGCTTCTAGTATCGGAAAATCATAAACTTTTCGTTGGAGGATCGACAAATTTCGGAATTTTTACAAAATTCGACGTACCGAACCGCACATAATCTTCCCGACGCGCCGTTAAACAATCGACTGATTCGACGCGATGACGTTCAGGTAAAATGTCATAACTTTTTTACATTCTTTAAAATTTCAATTGCCGTTTAACCAGCGGTTTTCTGGAATAATAGCCTGAAAACACGGGATAGTGAGGGGCACGAGACAGGGGGCCATTCTTGGTAGATATGTACATTAAACGCATTAAATCACATTATTTTGCAAATAACATTTAGTAGGGTGTTAACCCCATTTAAACATGAGAACGCTAGTACATATACATGGTGTTCTCTAATATAGACCATTCACTCACCTGTTTAAAGGTTGTTTCACTCATAATGAACGTACTTGTATGGCGCAAAATTACTCTTTAAATTCAGAGGCAAGAAGATTCTTGGACAGACTAAAAAAACACAACTTACAAGCGTCTTAAACTACTTCGTATTTTTCATTACTTTGCCAATAAAAGACGGAAAATTCAGCATCTATCTCCTACTGGATGGCCTCGCCGGATTCAGAGAAGCTTTGCCAACTAAAACACAAGTCGGTTCAACGCTCTGCTTTTCTTGCGTAATATCAGACGCTACCAGCAGGAGTCTTGAAGTCAAGCGGCAACTTAAAAGGGCCCTTCAGTGGCAGCCTGTAGCAGTTGCCTGGAAAAGTCGTCGGGATTGTCGGAAGAAATAGAAAAGGGCATTCCAATGATAAATACCGCCATTGATGAGTCTGGATGTGATTTGCCTATTAATGTATTCTTCGTGCCGCAGGCGCTGGCGCTCAGTATATAGACTGAACTCCCATGAAACCGCGCAGGTATAGACAAAGAGTAAAACTATCAGGACATCAATATAAAAACTCCTCAAATGACCGAATATGTAGACCTACCAAACAATGCTAAGGATTCTACATAGAATTTGACTTCCGTCTCCAACTTCATTGTCAGCGCGTTCACCATGAGGATGATTTCAGCCAGAATATAGAAGAAAAACCCCATAGTGGAACAACAGCCATCAAAGTCGTTCTTCTAAATCCAAAGACTGACGTTCAGGCTGTCGCCAAGCTGTAGCTAAAACTACTCACATAGAATATGTACCAGGACATTCCACTGACTAAAACAGTTACTAAAAGCAGGCCGCCCAGGTGCACATAAACAGGAAACAGCCGATACACCACTCTGTTGGACGCCAAGTGCTCATCGGCCCAAGAATGAAGACCACTAATCACCAACAGAGCCTAAAACAACAGCAATTAAAGGTTCGACTTTGATGGCAAAGCACACCAATTCACCCATAAAGCGACGCAAATGATCAGCGCCAATACCCAAGGCCTGGAAAGTTTCTGAATCTGGCGCCTGCATCCAGACATTGCGGTGTTGATAACTGTCAGTTTCCCGATCAACAGGTTCATAGCGAAGAATCTGATCACCTGCCGCACTCTGGATTTAACGCTAGCTGGTTTAAAGGCTCAATTGTCGTATTAGGCAATAAAGGCCTTAAACTGTGCTTATTCAATTAAGCATTTGTTCGTCCTGATATAAAATTACTAAGTGACTAACTCTGGTAGTTCGTCTCTATGTCGGAATAATAATTATAATGAAATTTATTCTACGGTGAAAAAAGCATATGATAAGTTGCTGACTACAGTCAGAGCAGAGAATTATGCTAAGAGGATACAAAACTCGGACAATAAAAATAAACGCATGTGGACTATTTATAATGAAATATCAGGTAATTCAAGCAAGCACGGTGCCATAATTGATGGAGAGCCAGACGAAATATCGAACAGATATAACAAGTTCTTCTTAGAATCCATTCCAGATCCAATAAAAAAATACCCGATATTGAATGGACGCACAGTATCCAGGAAAATCGTAGATCCATATTCTTAAAGCCAGTCAATCAACAGGAAATATTGGAATTAGCGCACAGAATTAAGAACAAACATAGTAGTGGTGACGATGAATTGCCCACA